GAGATTGCAAACCAGTGTCAATTCCAATCCTGAAAGAAAGTTTACCTGAAAAGTACAAGGAAGGCGAACACAGAAATTTTCCCTTATAGACAAGTTGAAGGAGCTTTAATGTATTTTATGTTAGGTAGGAGACCAGATTTAGCTTATTGTGTTGGCATTCTATCAGATCATCTTGAAAGCTCATCGAAAGATGATTGGATAAAAGTGAAAAGTATATTTAGATAGATAGCTGGTTCTCTTACTAAATGTGTTACATACAAATATAATTACAAACCAAGAGTACTGGAGTGCTATAATGATGCAGATTTCGGAAGATGCCAAGTACAGTCAAAAGTCTTTAATCCGGACTCGTCGGGACTTCGGCGATTCCGGATTATCGATTTTTCCGGATTATAGATCATCAGTTTAAATCTGGTAATATGGCATGCAGAAATTATAAAATTAAAAATATGAAACCGTAATTTATAAAATAATGAGCAATTATGATCTAAAGGGTATCAAAATTTACAAAAAAGAAGCTTAATATTTATTTGTTTACTTTATTAAACATTTCTTTCAACGTGCGCATGCGTAACTTACGCATAGCCGAAATTAGAAAATTGCAACCAGAAAACTATTTGATTTGTATTTGTGATATTTATAATGACGAGGAATTTGATTTAAATCATATCAAAGACAGAGTACATCGAGATTAAATACTATATTTAGTAAGGAATTATAAGCCGAATAAAATAAAAACATCTGCCCTGAAGATAACGATAGTGCTAACAGATCAACGTCCAGTTCATTGCGCGCCGTGAAGCCCCCCCCCCCGCGCAGAGCAGCGTGAAATTGATAAACAGATTTCGAAACGGTTAGATAAACAAAGGATATGCCTTTATCCATTTTTTGTAGCAATTCGTTTTTTGTTTGATGGACATCGAAACATACTTTCGTTTTCTAGATCCTTTGGGAGCTCCAGAATCGGAAATTCTATTTGACATAATCGAAAGTTCAAGCTTACTTTTATAAAATTGCTCTTACAGTCTGCAAAAAATAATAAGCCGGATCCAATTCGAAGATTAAGGAACAACGCAATCATCAACATTAACTGAAATAGATAATTAGATAATTTTAGCTTATACCGTTCTTTATACATTAAACGCGCACGCGAAAACGTATTCTGCGCTTGCGCAGACGCATATGCGCAGTCGTAAATGTCTTACGCGTAAAACGCTTATGAGCATGGATCAATGCGGTGCATGCGCAGAAAGATTTTAGCTTTGAGGTCCGGATTATAGGTGTCTGAATTAACGACTTTTGACTGTAACAAGGAAATCTACAAGTGCAGTAGTCATATCACATAGTGGTGCAGCTATATCATGGATTAGCTAGTCAACTGATGTAACTTTGACAGCTAAAGCAGAGATAATTGCAGCTAGTGACTGTTCAGAGAAGTACTTTGGTTAAAGTGATTACTTACTGATGTTACCAAGTTACACGAAGATGCGGGACTTCAAGTAGATAACGCCGCTGCAATGAAACTGTCACAAGAACCTGAGTTTCATTGACATAAAAAACATTGATATCAAGCAGTTTTTCATATGACAGAAAGTTCAAGAAAGCAAATCATTCTGTAGGTATCTTTGACTCTGTAGATATTTGCTGGGCAAATACCTACAGAGGAGCACGTTGCCGACATAATGACTAAACCTCAACTTAAACACAGACTGTTGATTCATTGAAATAAAATAAGACTCTTGTGACTTTCTCTTCTAATTCTGTGAACAAGATTTTCTTCTTGAAAAGCATAATATTAATAATACTTCTCATGAGAATTTGCACAGAAATTCTCTTCACTTCAGAAACAGTTTTTAAACTGATATTATATTTTTAGTTATGGTATAAATGCAATTACTTTGCTCTTCAATTTGTGTATTCATTCATTTTCGGAGGATTCTGCGCAGTGATGCTGAACGTGTAGGACGTGCTGCAGTTTTCTCTTACTTTTGATTTGACTGTCGAAGTCCTGTAGGCAGACAGTTCTGTGTTATTTTTTAATTTGCAAAATCATACTTTAAAGTTCTGTTTTAGGTACTCTCGGGTACATAAAAATGTCCTTTTTCGGGACACCCAGCCAAGATGACGAGGATTACAGCGATGACGTGGGATAAGAATACTCGACAAGTTTGATGCCAACTACCTGCAGAAGACTTGAGTTTGTTAAGAGCCCTATCTCTGAAAAACCTGCCAAAACTAAGAAGGCTACGAAAAAGAAGCTTCCAGCAGCCCGTTATCCCAACCGAAGCCGAAACATCTCGCCAAGCGGAACCAACTAAATAACAAAAAGTGATGCACCTACTCAATGTAGTTCAACAACATGGAATGCTGCACCTTTTGGACCTACTTAACGGCAAGAGCAGTGATGAAACTAAGACAGCTGTAACACCACCAAATTCTGAAAGGAAAAGAATATGAGTTGACTCGCTGCAAGCTGAAGCTAGTTCTGAAACGGCCACGATGCCTCCCCCTACTCCCAAGACTGATAATTCTGAATGAAAATCACCCAGGATAGTAGCCAAAGTGATGGAAACTCCCAAACCCATGGAAATAGCTCAAGAAAATAGATTTGAAGCATTGCTGAACCAACAACTGGATGATGATGACGAAGCGAAAAGAGAAGTTCACCCCCAACCCATTGTTTTCTCTCACGACGATGCTGATTGGTTGGACTGAAACAGCACTGTAAAGAGGAATTTAAATCTTCGCTGAAGGCTAAACCAATCTATGTCTATACGAAAAGCTCTATATACCACCGTTCCATGTGCAAAGCAGTTTTAGCACTGGGAACTCCATTTCACTCATATATGTCTGAAAATTACAAGCTGTTACATGTCATCCTAAAGGGAGTTCCTGGTTCCATCAAGGAAAGTGTTATATATGACGATCTAACCAAACGTGGATATCCCATCTTGAAGGTAAAACAATTCACAAGAAATAAACCAGACAACATGACCCAAGCTGCCGATTTTCCTCCTTGAGCTGAAGAAAAATGCTGATGGACATTTGATTCATAACCTTTCTAACATGTTCAGCTTTAACTGCACTATTGAGAAATTTAACCCACGCAAATAGCCAGTACAGTGCTACAGGTGCCAAGAATATGGACACTCGCAGACATGCTGCAATAAACCAGAGAGGTACGTAAAATGTGGATTACTGCATCGTGGCAATTTTTGCCAAATGCCTAAAGAACAGAAACCTACCTGCATTTTCTGCCTAGGTCTCCACATCTGTAGCTACAGGGGATGTAGTTACTACAAAAAAAGTTTCGAAAACAAAAGCCAGGAACCTAAACCTCCAGCACAGGAAATTCCAGACTTGGACAATCCCAGCCCTGAAGAAGATTACTCATCCAAACCTATAGCTCAAAATTAAAACAGAAGCTACTACCACCTCCAGAGGAAACTGAAGAAATTTTGACTTGGATCAGAGATGAGAAGATCAAGCAATTCCTTACTCCAGTTATTCGACTTATTGGCAAAATTAAATCTGCAAAGAGCCCTTCAGAAAAGCTATGAGTCATTTTTCATGCCACTATGACCATCATGAAGTTTGATGAAGAGAACTGAGATGATTGACGATCCCCTTACTAGATGGCAGCACACAAGCCTTTCACCCTAAATCTCCTTTCCAGACCATCTTCCAAACTCATCGATAGATGGAGCGACAAAAAAGTGCAGCTAAGCCTAACTTCAAATTCTGCGCTTACTTACGAGATGACCCATAGATGGCAGCATGTTAGCACATCTTGCACACCAGTTCGACGGTTTTTCCAGACTTCCCGTTACTAGTATCTAGCCTATTTTAAATGTTTGTTAACTTTTGTTGCTCCAGCTTTCACAATTTTTGTAATTAACTTTTTACTTTTGCCTTAATTACTATTTGCATCAAATTTACTCAGAAAATTTTTGCTTCAAACATGCTATAGAAAATGGCAGGCTATTTTTTGTCGTCAATCGAAACTTCTAAACATGTTCTACAAGGCCTTTGGCGCAGGTACCCTGGTGTAACAAGACTCCGCTCTAGAGAAGATTCAATTTGTGTATAATCGCGAAATGGGATTTCTGACTTTAAAATGAAATACCTCCCCAAGTCATACATTTCTGTCATACAAGAGTTATACATTTGTATTTTTTAATGAATATAAAAATTTTCTAAATATAATTATAGGCACCAGGGAAAATATACAAAAAGTAATTTTGTAATTTTTAAAAAGAAAATGGACTATTTAAATTTTAGATAGCCAAAACATGAATATTTACACTATTTTAAACAGTTCCGTAACTGGAAGTCTATGACCACAGATGTAAAATAAAGGCAGAGTGCAGAATTTTGTGGACACAATGTATATTTTAACACAGAATAGCACAATATATTTACAAATAATGCAACATGAAAAACTGTAGAAGAATAAAATTAAAGTATAATTCAAATGCTCTTTAATTAGACTGCATATGCTTGTGATTAACACTACAGTATTTTTTAAAAAATTACTAAATACAATTCTTTTTTTTTTTTAATTATTATTTTGTTAACTGCCGACAGCTCACTTCAAGAATTAAAAATCTTGATGCAACAATTTTTAAACTCTCCCACATTTTATTTAAATTTTGATGTTTGCTGTTTCCAAGATGCTAGCTTTTTAGCCTTGGAGGTACTGCTCATTATTTCCCTTTTGGTTATTAAATACCAGTCATACCCATATAAACCAGTTAGTTCATTTTAAAGATTGATTGCACATGTCAAAGCTCTTTTCAAATTGTCATATAATAAACATTCAAGTTGGTTTAGCAAGAAATATCACATTTAAAAAGTTATTGCAAATAGTGTTGCAATAACCTTTTAAATACACAATTTAAATACACAATAAATTAGCAATTTAAATACACAATGATATAAAATCATCAGCTGATATTTCAACTGAGTGGATAATATGAAGTACTACCAGGAAAACTTACCCGAGACAATAGCAATTTTCTCTTGTAATAATGGAAGGATATCAACTGCTCTAATATTCTGAGTCTGCTGTTGACCTAATAAGAGATACATATGATACATATTGAATGTATGTATTTATGTGTGTATATAAGTTACTTCATTTCACTAGAATTCTAACTACCTTTATCAAAGGAGATAATATACTAAATAATCCATCAGTAAATAAACTATATATATATTTATATATAATAAAACTTACATATAAGTTCTTATTAATTATTTATCAAAAAGTGAAAAACATAATTAATATACTATGTGATTAATCTGAAATATTATTGCATAAAGTTATCGTAAAAGCATTCAGATGCAAAAGTTTGCAGTCCTTCGAGAAAGTAACATTAAAACATTTGTAAAAGTATAGTTTAGGGTACCCCTTGGTGAAACTTGGCGGTACATGGATACCGAGTTTGTGCAATTCTTTGACTCGTTATTTTGGCTTGCGAAGCCAAAGCCAAAATAGCTTGTGCAAATGTTTGTCTTGTTATTTTGGCTTGCGAAGCCAAAGCCAAAGTAACGAGACAAACAATTGACAAACTCGGTATCCATGTACACATCGACCTATTTAAAAAAAAAAAAAATCCCCGAATTGCACAAAAATGACATTGCACACACCTTTGACTTTATCCATGTATACGTCGACCTATTTTCACTTTGAAAAAAATCCTAGAATTGCACAAACTTGTATTGCGCTCTCCCTTTACTTTGTCCATGTACCCATGGATATATTTTCACTTAAAAAGTCAAAAGAGCACCCAATTCTATAATATATGCAAACAAAAAATACATAATCTCATTAAAGACATTTTAAACCATGCAATAAAATAACATAAAAAAGGGAAAAAACATGTTACACATTTAAGCACTACCAAAAGCAAATACAGTCAAAAGTCATTAATCCGGACTCGTCGGGACTTCGAGGATTCCGGATTATCGATTTTTCCGGATTATAGATCATCAGTTTAAATCTGGTAAGATGGCATGCAGAAATTATAAAATTAAAAATATGAAACGTAATTTATGAAATAAAGAACAATTATGATCTAAAGGGTATCAAAATTTACAAAAAGAAAAAGCTTAATATTTATTTGTTTACTTTATTAAACATTTCTTTCAATGTAAGTTATATAAGTTGCTTCATTTTATGTGATAATACTTTCTCTTTAATTCTATTAAACAGACATAATTTCTTGTTTAGTTACAAAGTTCCACTGTTCAAGTCCTATAATTGCTGTGTCGAGAATACTGACTAATTTGTCAATCGAAATTTTTTCGTTTTCAATAAACTCTGTGCCACTTTCTTCACTATCGAAAGAGAATTATAATGACAAGGATATCAAAGACGGAGTACATCGAGATGAAATACTACATTTAGTAAGGAATTATAAGCCAAATAAAATAAAAACATCTGCCCTGAAAACAAGGATAGTGCTGACAGATCAACTTCAACCGCAGAGTTCCCCCCTCCCCCGGCCGCCACAGCGTGAAATTGATAAACAGATTTCGGATTTCGAAACGTACTTTCGCTTTGTAGATCCTTTACATATTAGTAAATATATATCGGAAATTCTATTTGACATAATCGAAAGTTCAAGCTTACTTTTATAAAATTGCTCTAACAGTCTGCAAAAAATAATAATCCGGATCCAATTCGAACATTAAGGAACAACGCAATCTGCAACATTAACTGAATTAGATAATTTTAGCTTAGCTTATACCATCCGTTACACATTAAACGCACATGCGCACACGCATATTCGCAGCCGTGAAGGTCTTACGCGCGTGCATAAACGCCTATGCGCATGCGCAGAAAGTTTGTAGCTTTGAGGTCCGGATTATGGGTGTCCAAATTAACGACTTTTGACTGTATTCACTTACCCTATTTAGAAGTTCCTTCGTCTTTAATCTGTGGCACACAAAATTCCTTAACAGCATCCAAAAACTTCTTAAAATTATCTGAAATCGAATCCGTATATCGGCGTCGCCACATAAATTCACAAAAATATCCTGTGTAGTTCCTGACTGTCGATGACACTTTTTTCGAAAATCTCTCTTTACCACACCTCCATTTTGATGATTTTCGAGTTCGCTTAGTACACACAGAGCCACGTAAAAATCAAAATATCAATCATACTCAAATGACTTTTTTCAAACCAGGTACCCTTTCTGATTGAACGCTTCACATAGTGACCATCTGAACCTTTCTTCCTACAAACCCATTCAAATCCATTTAAACGGTTTTTACGTTTGATTAGACGCATACCCTTCCTACACACAGTACACTTATAATGGCTACTAAGTAAACCTTCATTTACACAACCAGTCAATTACTGCTCTTTTCCCCTTTCGTTCCAAATCTTACAGAAACTTCAAATTAGTTTTACTACATTCAGCCATTCTACCGTCTAAACAATAAAACCGACCTGCACCACAAAAGCGCTTACAAAGCCTCCCATGATTCAAAATTTCCCAGAATCATGCACCCGATTACGTCACAATAAAACTTCCATAACATTCAACTACTCAGGCTACCATAAATAAAACAAAAACTTGGCGATAAATGAAACAACGACTTCGCTATAATACAAGGGGTACCTTTAAGTCTACTCTCACCAAAACATGCTTATAGCAAACCTCTTGGGGTAGAGTAGACTGTCCGTTATACTCCTTGTATTATGGTGAAGATGTTTGATTTATCGCCAAGTTGTTGTTTCATTTATGGTAGCCTGAGTAGTTGAATGTTATGGAAACCCTATTGTGACGTAATTGGGTGCATGATTCTGGGAAATTTTGAATCATGGGATGTTTCATAAGCATTTTTGTGGTGTGTGTTAAAATGGTTTAGATGGATTTTAATGGGTTTGTAGGAAGAAAGGTTCAGATGGTCACTACGTGAAGCGTTCGATCAGAAAGAGTACATGGTTTGTAAAAAGTCATTTGAATATGATTGATATTTTGATTTTTACGTGTTTCTGGGTGTATGAAGCGAACTCGAAAATCATGGTAAGTGAATATTTGCTTTTGGTTGTGCTTAAATGTATAACATGTTTTTCCTTTTTTATGTTATTTTATTGTTTAGTTTAAAATGTGTTTTATTGAGATTATGTATTTTTTGTTTGCCTATATTGTAGAATTGTGTGCTCCTTTGACTTTTTAAGTGAAAATATATCGATGTGTACATGGATTAAGTCAATGTGGTGCGCAATGCAGGAGTTTCAGCAATTCTCTGATTTTTTTAAGTGAAAATAGGTTGATGTGTACATGGATAAAGTTAAAGAAGATGCCATTTTTGTGCAATTTGGGGATTTTTTTTAAAGTGAAAATAGGTCGACGTGTACATGGATAAAGTCAAAGGAGTGCGCAAAGCCATTTTTGTGCAATTCGGGGTTTTCTTTTAAGTGAAAAAAGTCGATGTGTACATGGTTACCGAGTTTGTACACTTGTTTGTATTGTTATTTTGGCTTTGTGTAGCGATTTTTGGCGCAAAAATCGCCGCTTCACAAGAAAAAATAACGAGTCAAAGAATTGCACAAAATCGGTATCCATGTACCGCCAAAAATCGCCAAGTTTCGCCAAGGGGTACCCTTAACTATACTTTTACCACCTCTTGAAGTATGCAAGAAGAAAATTGATGATCCATAAAGTTTAATCACCGGCCGTAAAATAAAGCTGAAATTTGAATCAAAACAAATTTCTATTTTGAAACTTGGGTAAATATAGGATATTCTTAGGAAATTTTTCACTTTCTTTTATAGTTTGATGAATAATGCAGCACTGAAGCATTAAGAATGGCTTTTTATAATTTTGTTGCACTTGTCAAAGTATGATAATGTTATTCATAAAATTTAATTTCTATCTCTAATTTTTTTTTCATTATTATAAACAATAAACGGTTAAAATTTACTCTATGCGACCCCTTGCCAAATCTTTTCTTTTTCGACGCCAATATCGGCACCAATTTCAAGATGGTGCTGATCCTTCCACCTGCTACACAAAACCAAAACAAGAAGTCAAAGAGTTACACAAACTTGGTGTCCATGTACATATCAACCTATTTTAACTCAAACATCAGAGAATTGCACAAACTAGGCATTTCGCACTGCCTTAACTTTGTCCATGTACACATCAATCTGTTTTCACTTAAACAAAATCAGAAAGCTAAAACAAAGTTAAAACTATCATGGTAACCAGAAAAAATTCGCTGCTTTTTTAACACACAGAAGTGAACAAATAACCAAAAATACAACATAGAGAAGAATAAATAACCAAAAATATACAAATAGAGAGGAATAAATAACCAAAAATACACAGAGAGGAATAAAAAACTAAAAATACATATTTCCTAACATAGAAACATTAAACAACAAATCTTTTAACAAAAATTAATACATGCAGACAAATAAATGAAATGAAATGTCAGTTTTTTAACATATCTTTTTCTCACCTGCATACATTTAAAAAAAAACTCAAATTTGCAATTTCATCATAATCCAACCTATCAACATTCATCCTCATAGTCACCTCAGACATACTCAAATGATGATACTCACAGCAAAATAATAGCAAATTCAAAATACAAGACCAAACCACACACATGCAACGAAACACAGCAATTGAAAAGAATGGTAAGAACCCAAAACCCGGGCTCATACAAAAGGGTTACTACAGTCAAAAGTCATTAATTCAAACACCCATAATCCGGACCTCAAAGCTAAAAACTTTCTGCGCATGCGCATAGGCGTTTACGTGTGGGCTAAGACCGTTACGGCTGCGAATATGCGTGTGCGCGTGCACATAAAACGTTTACACTTGCGCATTAAATGTATAACGGACGGTTAAGCCAAGCTAAAATTATCTAATTCAGTTAATGTTGCAGATTGCATTGTTACTTAATCTTCGAATCGGATCCGGCTTATTATTTTTTACAGACTGTTAGAGCAATTTTATAAAAGTAAGCTTGAACTTTTGATTATATCAAATAGAATTTCCGATATATATTTGCTAATATGTAAAGCATGTAAAGCGAAAGAATGTTCCGAAATCTGTTTATCAATTTCACGCTGCTCGGCGGGGGAAGGGGGGGGAAGGAGGCCCTGGCGCGCAATGAATTGGAAGTTGATCTGTCAGCACTATCCTTATCTTCAGGGCAGATGTTTTTATTTTATTTGGCTTATAATTCCTTACTAAATGTAGTATTTCATCTCGATGTACTCCGTCTTTGATATGATTTAAAACAAATTCCTCGTCATTATAATTCGCTTCCGAAAGTGAAGAAAGTAACAGAGGTTATTGAAAACGAAAACATTTCGATTGACAAATTATTCTCAACACAGCAATTATAGGACTTGAAACAGCGGCAACTTACATTGAAAGAAATGTTTAATATAGTAAACAAATAAATATTAAGCTTTTTCTTTTTGTAAATTTTGATACCCTTTAGATCATAATTGTTCTTTATTTCATAAATTACGGTTTCATATTTTTAATTTTGTAATTTCTGCATGCCATCTTACCAGGTTTAAACTGATGATCTATAATCCGGAAAAATCGATAATCCAGAATCGCCGATGTCCCGACGAGTCCGGATTAACCACTTTTGACTGTATTACAAAAAATTGCCATAATCTAAATTTATCACAACACGCTTGGCGATATTAGCATAAATAACCCTTTTTTTAATGACAAAAACTAAAAAAACCCAAAAAATTATCCCCAAGGCTAGTTTCGCCAACAGTATGGTTACCGGAATACTTATTTCACACAGCGGGCCACTTGCCGATTTTTTTCAGACAAAAAACAAAGGGTACTACACAATAAAGATTAGCCCAAAATTTTGCTGAAAATTTTTTTATAGGGAACAACAAGGAAATGTGTTTCATAGATAGCCACTGTTGCCGAGATTTGCATGAAACCAAGTCTCCACAATTCTCTGATAATTTTGTAAGCAGAAACAGATCACTGTATGCTTTGGGAGAAGAATAGCACAAAAAAATTACAGCAAGATTTGAATAAGAATGTAAATGTTTTATTTTTATTCTATTTTAAATTGTTACAGTATGTTTCCTTTTCATATGTTGATAACGTTTACCGACATATTATAAATAGTGATACTATTTGAGAATCTTTCTAAAAAAAAAAAGTACAAAAACCACCAACTTGCACGCGATAGGTAACTTCTACCTTTTCAGCTATAAAAAATTGTTGAATTGCGCTAAGATGGTTGCAATAATAGATAAATACCGATTATTCAGGATATTCAACACCTGAATTTTTGAATTTATAATGTAAAATGATTAACATGAAAAATCAATTTGCCCTAAATTTTATCGACATTATATTCTAAAATACACTTTAGTATTTGGAACCAAAGTATAACATAAGTACAAAGAGTATGCTTAATAATCTACACCATTATATTCAACATGCAATAACATATTAAAGACAAGAATTTTTTTAATTCCTTTTAATATCAGAATTTTTATAATAAATGGAATTAATTTACTCTCATTTGTGATAAATATTAATAAAAATTCTTCTATTCATTATTAAAAAAAGGGCATAACAAATCATGAAGGCTCTAGTGTAGAATTGGGTGCCCCTTCGATTAGCGACAATATTTTGTAAAATTTTTGGCGACGAAATCTTATTTCTGGTTACCATGATAGTGTAACTTTGCTTTAGCCTCCTGAATTTTTTAAAATAAAAATAGATTGATGTGTACATGGAGAAATTTAAACAGTGTGCAATGCCTATTTTGTGCAATTCTGGGATTTTTTTTAATTGAAAACAGATCGATGTGTACATGGACAAGAGTTTATGCAATTCTTTGACTTTTTATTTTGGTTTTGTGTAGCGGCCATCTTGAAATTATGTCTTCCTGGCGCCGATCTTGGCGTCAAAAAAGAATTGCCAATAAACAAGGGGCACCCAATTGTAAACTTTTACGGTTTTATGTGATAACAAGGAGTCCAATGATAAGGTTTTACTTGTTTATAAATTATTGAACTTAATAGCAAATAAGGCTCGTATTTTTGTGTTTAGCAGAGTTAAGAATGGGCCTGGTTTACAGCACAGGTGTTTAGTAACTGATTGAAGAAGAGCACAACTGCTTTTCTCCAAAAAGGCAACTTACTTTATGTTGTAAAATATACTTTATTATAAATAACAGATTTAACAGATATAAATAACAGATTTTGTAAATAGTCAAATACCAGTAAGATTGATTTAACATCACTGTAGATATTACTACAAACTGATATTTTTGAGATACAAAAACACTTTTATGCCAGAGCATTTTTACCCATTTTTTTAAAATTATGAAAACATTATTTAATAATAAATGTAGCGCAAAAAGTAACGTTAATAAGTAACGTTTTTTTTACTTGCTGTAATCTCGAATAACTCGATAAGCTGATACTGGAGGCTTTCAAGAATCCATTAGATGAGTCTGGATAGTGATGAGTGAAAATAGTAATGCATTTTAATGTCACATAATTTTAAAATTGTGTTAGCTCTGTCTCTCTGTCTTTTGATATAAGTAAAAATATTCAAGCTGCTTTAATTTTGTAATAAATTATTATTTCTCTCTTAAGCATATTGGTAATTGCTTGTAATACTACTGGAAAAAAAAAATAGTATTCATTACATTTCTAATATCAGCTGTGAAAAATTCGTCATGTAAGTAATTGAGTAAAAACAAAAAGTTCGATTTAATATATTTCTTTATTTAAGGGAGGAAATAATCTAAATGAAAAAAAAAAATCCATCCACATTCTCATTCAAATTAAAATTATTTTTAATTGTTGAAAACTGTAGATATGGGGCTCAAATGCAGTTAAAATCTCCTAACTGCAAAATATATATTTATTAAATGGGGCTCAATGCAGTTTAAATCTTCCAATTGAAAGCTATATATTTCTTAAATGTAGTTAAATAAATAATTTTTACTCAATTACTTACATGACGAATTTTTCACAGCTGATATTAGAAATGTAATGAATACTATTTTTTTTTTCCAGTAGTATTACAAGCAATTACCAATATGCTTAAGAGAGAAATAATAATTTATTACAAAATTAAAGCAGCTTGAATATTTTTACTTATATCAAAAGACAGAGAGACAGAGCTAACACAATTTTAAAATTATGTGACATTAAAATGCATTACTATTTTCACTCATCACTATCCAGTTTGGTGATTTTTTGTTTCAAAGTAAAAAACACTCTAACTGATGTCTCTGATGAAAAAACATTCTGTTTGTTGTTCAAAGTATCATGCTTGGAAAAAAACATAAATAAAAGACTCATCTAATGGATTCTTGAAAGCCTCCAGTATCAGCTTATCGAGTTATTCGAGATTACAGCAAGTAAAAAAAACGTTACTTATTAAATGAATATAATGATAACATAACTATACACATTACAAATGAAATAAACTAGAAGCATATTTAAAGTGCACCTTGAATTTTAGGCAATTGCTTATCAAAGTTTAAGTAAATCTGAACACTAATTTGAAACATGTAAGAAGTAATTAATACATACCTCCTTTGAAATAAGAACACTCATTTTCGGAAGACATTTTGTAAATGCTCTGAAATATAGTATTTAAATTTTCAGGCAGCACAGAATGTTACGTTTTAGTAAGAGATCTCGACAAATTATCATCTCGGGCGCTCAAAGATCGATCGCCTTCATGTAAAAAAAATGACATACAACATTTTCCTCCTTTAATTACACCTCCAAATATAACATTTACAAAATTTAAAATAGACACTTTTATGGAACACAACTACTTCTAAACAGCTAATACTACTCATTATTGTATTCAACTATAAAACATCACAGTTCACTACTGCTTCCCAGCACAAGTTTGCGAGCCTATGAAAAACAAGGATTGTCACTGAGAAACTAAACATAGAATATGAAAACACGACCATTGACCTTCCGAAGATACGAAAAGATTTAATGATTTTTAGTATAGAGGAAAGTTTTAAGGTTTTTACTATGAGAAATTATATTTAAAATATCAAACATTTATTTCAAACATATCAAATTTTAAAAAGTTACAAATTATTTTTTTGTGCGTTTTCGATAGTATAAGAATTTAATTTGGGTAAGAAATGTTAATTAAAATATTACTAATAAGAATTTTTAATGTTTTAGAAAGGGATAATTCTTTTATTCTGCTTATTAATTATGAAGAAATTAAAAAGTATGATTATTCAATATACATAAAAGAACATGAATTGATGAAACCAGGTTCAAGTAAAAATTTTAATTTTTTTTTAAACTTTGGTAAAGCTCTCTTTAATTTTTAAATCTCTTTCATTTTGTTATTGTGTAGGAAAACTGGGGAGGGGGGGAGGTGTTGCGACTGTGTCTACTCCTTTTCATCAACGTTTGCAACACTGCAGTGCGGTTTGTTTTGGTTTCGTCGAGTGGTGTGGGTGTAAATCACTGAATGGAATTAATTTATTAACTTTTCCCTCATCTGTACATTTGCTTGTGATATTTACTAATTCCACTTCATACGCTTTAACAATGTCTGCACAGGTAAGTAGAATAACTATTTATATGATAATATATATATATATATATATATATGTTATGTATTATGCAAATTCATATTATATGAGCAGCTTGCCGCTTCGCATTTTTGTTGCTGTTTACCTTTAAATATGATCAGAATCCTTTGAAGATATATTTTTAACAAGGGGAAAAAATTGTTCATTTTGATATGTGTGTGAATAGAAATTAAACCTCTTCTTTTTTTTAACGTTTCGCTTGAAATTCATACGACAGAAAGCAGAGGAGGGAAAGAAAATCTAATTTTAAATGGTAAAATGTCATATATCGTTCATAAAAATTATTGGCTTCAGTGAATCACTAAAAATGTATGAAACAAGTTGTTTGTATCCCAAAAAAAAAAAAAAAAAAAAAAAGATCCCTTTTGAAATCGTATGAATGAAGTGCGATATACACTTTATTCAAATACATTTTTGTTCTGTATATTTCTTTTAGAATTTTAAATCTATTTAATGTGCTTATATGGCACTAGGTATCTTATTAACTAAAAAAATAGGCAATATTAGACTTTTAGGTAACTGAAGTATTTTATTGTGACTAACATGTATATATATGTAAATTTTCCTTTACTGAAATTTTAAATCTCCTCTTTATTTCTTTTTTTAATGCATATTATGTAACTATTTGCTTCTAAATTTAGGTGCTAAAGGTGGCTAAATGCCCAACAGAAGCATTGTCTTTCACCAACTGTGCTATTGTAAATGAAAATGATTTTGCCTTGGACAAAGTCAGGTAGTTATGTTGCTATTCAATTCAGTTTCTATTCTTTGTATATGTTGCAATTGCAGTCTGAAATATGTGTAATAATCTTTGGAATGTATTCTATTGTATTTATAGCAGTATAATTTAATTACATTTCTAACAAGAGAGTTCGGCTGATCTTTGGAATATGGTAATTGGTAGTTTGACGACATTTTGGAGGCGATAAAGGTTACTACCTAGGACTTTGGTGATAATGTGAGAAGTACCGGAAATACTCAGTTCCGATTACGCATTATTTTGGGTACTTACGTATTATCGCAACCAGGTTGGTGCAATTTGTAAGTTTGAGTAAAAAAGTATGAATAGAAAGAAAATGTACATTTATTAATTACAGATAATTTTTAATACAGTTTTTTTATATTATTTTGTTTACCCTACTTACAGCAACCTCATGTTAATTTATTAAAGCGAGGTGTGCGTAGTTCGTAGATTCGTTCGTTGCCTACATTGTGCCATTCGTAGATTTGTTTTTAAGTTAAAACATGTCGCTGTGTACATGGATTCTTGTCAAATATTTTTGGTTAGAAACTTTGCGTTTTTGCTATCTAAATTTTTTGTTTTTGTTTCGGATTTTTAGCTTAAATCGTGAGTTCAAAACATAGTTTTTGCATGTGCGAAAACCGCGTTTTTGGAGACATTTTAGGCTTAAAGTTTGAAATATAGACAAGAATCCATGTACAAAGCGACGTGTTTTAACTTAAAAAAAATCTACGAATGGCACAATGTACGCAACGAACGAATCTACGAACTATGCACACCTCGCTTTAATAAATTAACATAAGGTTGCCGTAAGTAGGGTTGCCAAATTTGGCGATTTATGCGGATTTTGGCCTGGTTGTGTTAATACGTAAGTACCTTATTTTGTGTGAGGGAAATGAGAGATCATGAGATATGTCATGTGACATTAATTGACGAATTACAGTTCTTTAATCGGAAAAGGGAGGAAATCTGGAAAAAAATCTGGAACTTTTGTATCTGGCTTTATTCTGTGTTGTGTGAAACAATGTTGGTTAATTTTTGGATCCCATGGCCCTAACTAAAGTGAATTCGAAATGGCTATTTAGGCATTGTGATAAAGAGAATTTTGCTTTTTATTTAGCGGAGGAAATATGAAGGAAAAATTCGCAGATTAGGTAAGTTAGTATTTTTAATTATTTGAGGATATTATTTTTATGCATTGTTCTAAATGTAAGGAGTAAATAAAGTAATATGGTATTATTGGAAAATTGTTATTAGCAATGATTTAGTTTAAAGTAATTAGGATTGTAAGCTAATTTTTATTAATTTAATGTATGTGCTTATTTATATTTTAAGTAGTGTTTTTAAATTTAATTATATTTTAATTAAATGATAGTTATTTTGTGAATTATATGTTTGTAGGAATTTGGTATATACGTTTCAGTGGAAGTAAACGTGCATGGAAATAATTTAAATATTTGACACTAAGTATTTGTAACCATTTGTAATGTTTGCGGTATGAATTCGTTGGTGACGTTTATAATATAATAGATAATTTAGAGGTAAAAGTTTTTGGATATTTTATTTATTTTATACGTGGAAATGTTCATCTTTGGAAAGGGTATATACTTTTTCGCGATCAGGTAATTTCATATATGTTTTTTTTACCGGATTTAAAGATTCACAAAATTTTCATGCATTTTCGTGAAATTTTTCTAATTTATGAGAAAAAAGCAGTGTACATGGATATAGTGAAGAGTGTGCGCAATGCCATTTTTTTGTGCAATTCTGGGATGTTTTTTTAAGTAAAAATAAGTCGACGTGTACATGGTTTAGTGATATTTTAATTAAATGATAGTTATTTTGTGAATTTTATGTTTGTAGGAATTTGGTATACGTTTCAGTTGAAGTAAACGTGCATGGAAATAATTTAAATATTTGACACTAAGTATTTGTAACCATTTGTAATGTTTGCGGTATGAATTCGTTGGTGACGTTTATAATATAATAGATAATTTAGAGGTTAAAGTTTTTGGATATTTTATTTATTTTATACGTGGAAATGTTCATCCTTGGAAAGGGTATATACTTTTTCGCGATCAGGTAATTTCATATATGTGCTTTTTACCGAGTTTAAAGATTCACAAAATTTTCCAGCATTTTCGTGCAAATTTTTGTAATTTATGAGAAATCTGCTTTACTTGCACACCTGAATTAAGATTAAAGTAGCACACAACAATTGGCAAAAATTTTATGTCCTTTCTGTTTGATGCATGTATACTTACAGATATGTAGTTTGACTTGGTCAAGTCTTCTTTAAGCTCTTCTTGAGCTAAAGGAGCTACGGCATTTAAAACTATAGCGTCAGGCATTTAAAACTATAACTTAGTTTTTCTGAATGAGAATTTAGGTTAAAGAAACTTAGTTTTTCCGAATGAGAATTTAGGTTAAAGAAACTTAGAAATTAGCTTTGACGAACAAGAGTTCGAATTGAAACTTAGGCTATGGTTTGCTGCTTGGTAAGCAAAGGTCGCCTCTTTCTGCTAAGTTTTTATCAATAGTCTAATAAAAACTGGTCAGTTTTGATGGCCTGGCAGCACATGCTAAACTGTTTTTATATTTATTCGATTGCAAATGATCTTTTATATCGGATCAGCCACCATTTGAGCAACAGAAAACTCAGAATTACAGTGTGAACTTTAACTCTGTCGTCTTGATCTTGATTGTTAGTACATACCTTCTTCAAAAAAGGGAATTCATTCTATAAATCCCTGGTGAATTTACATGACCGTTTTGGCATTTTAACAGAGAAGGTATAAATTTTAACTTAAAGCATAAATAAAACAGTGCTAGCTCTCTAGCACAACTTATCTTTATCGCAAGTGGTAGCGCCGAGTCCAGAAAGCCTCTCACATGGTCACAGTTGGCGAGACAAGACAATACGATGACAATATTATTTTATTGGCAGATCATCACTCTTGTATAGTTTTCGCCTTTCATACAGTAGAGAGATAACTGACAATGTAATTTTCCTAAATAATACTTAACAGTTTATTTTTAGACTTTTTTGGTCATCTATAAAATCAAATTTAATTTTTACCAGTAGAAGTAAACCGGCCGGGACCCTGGGATTTTGTCTAAAAACCGGGACTGTCCCAATCAACTGGGACGTCTGGCAAGCCTATGCATTATACACTATTTTCCCTTCTTTTGTGGCAATTCATTGAAAAATTTTACTTGAAGCAAATTGAAGTTTGTAAAACTTGAATTTTGGAACATTGAAAAACATCTGTTTGAGATCGTTGTCAGATTTTAGCTCATTTAATTCAAGCTGCAAATCTGGCCTCGCTGCATCACATTTTACGTTATTTTTAATGCATGGTGAAAATATCCAGTTCTATTTGATTGGCATTGAAATTGTAAAATTTGCATTCAAACTCAAAAGGCAGTTTTCTCACTCCATTTTCATAACTTCTAAGCTTGTCTTCAATTGCTGAGGATATTGAATTTAACACCGAGAAATTATACTAGCTAACTGCCTAGCAAACAGATCACATTTTAATTTAAAAACTTTGAGATGGACCCAGATATTGTCAATAAATAGATTTTTTCCTTGCATTTTGACATTTAAGTTGTTCATATGATAACAAAGCTCTGTAAAAAGTGCAAAAATGAAAAAACTGTTATATTTACCGACATTTCACATTTTGCAGAACACTATTTGTTTACCTTATTAAACATTTCTTTCAATGTAAGCTGTTTAAATTGCTTCATTTTTTGTGCTAATACTTTCTCTTTACTTCTGTAGACAGACATAATCTCTTGTTTAGTTAACATTGTTGAAGTCGGTAACTGCTGTTTCGAGAATTCAGGACTTGTCAATCAAAATTTTCTCGTTTCTGTTCTTGAGATACTTTTAATTAAAGAGTAAAAAAAATTCAATTCCCCCTGTCATATTGGGTGCTTTAATGGCTGTACTATTACAAATGTTTGTTATAGGTACTCTTAAAGTTGAAAGCCCTTCCAGAAATTTACATAAAATATCAACTGATCTTTGGAATATGGTAACAGGTAGTTTGGCGACATTTTGGAGCCGATAAAGGTTACTACCTAGGACTTTGGTAATAATGTGAGAAGTACTCAGTTCCGATTACGCATTATTTTGTGTGAGTGAAATGAGAGATCATGAGATATGTCATGTGACATTAATGGACAAATAAATTACAGTTCTTTAATCGGAAAAGGGGGTAAATTTGGAAAAATATCTGCTAGTACTATTATTTGCAGTATTAAGCTTCATTGTGTGTTGTGTGAAATAGTGTTGATTAATTTTTGGATCGCATGGCGCTATCTAAAGTGAATTCTAAAATTTTTAATGCATTTATCTGATAATTCAAAAGAATTGGTTGAATGGTATACGAGTGTAGGATTAATTGCGGATAAGTATGAATGTCCAACATGTGGAATGAAATGAGATTGTGTGAAAGGAAGGATATTACAGATAAGTTTGAATGGCGGTGCAAGAAATCTGGGTGAAAATGGACATTTTGTGATCCGCCATGCACTCAAGATTCTGTAGAAGATTAGGTAAGTTAGTATTTTTAATTATTTGAGGATATTATTTTTTATGCATTGTTCTAAATGTAAGGAGTAAATAAATAATATGGTATTATTGGAAAATTGTTATTAGCAATGATTTAGTTTAAAGTAATTAGGATTGTAAGCTAATTTTTATTAATTTAATGTATGTGCTTATTTATATTTTAAGTAGTGTTTTTTTAATTTAATTATATTTTAATTAAATGATAGTTATTTTATGTTTGTAGTAATTTGGAATACGTTTGAGTAGAAGTAAATGTGCATGGAAATAATTTAAATATTTGACACTAAGTATTTGAACCATTTTTAATGTTTGCGGTTATGAAATTCGTTGGTGACGTTTAATATAATAGATAATTTAGAGGTAAAAGTTTTTGGATATTTTATTTATTTTATACGTGCAAATGTTCATC